AAGAGTGTTTAGCAGAAAGAAGAGCAGAATAAAACTGGGCAATAAAATGTGGAAAGTCCTTGGACTAAAGTGTACAGGCAACAAACAGTGCAAAATAAAATTATTTTACATGTAACACAACAAGCTGATACAGCAACTTACTCAGTAAACCCATGACTCAATCTTGAATGGAGAATTTGTTCATTCAGAACTCAACAGAAAGTATAAAACATTAAAGCCATCTTAAGACTGAAGTCCAGTTCTAGTTCTTCTATTATCTTTGAAAATTTTTTATACCTTGTCTTATTCATAAGACATTCATTACTGTTTAGCACATCATATAATTTATAATAATTCTCTACAGAACAATATAGTTAATTCAGTATCATCAATAACTTTATACAGATACAGTATTGAAGCCATGTCCTCTTTTGCTTACTGTCAAGTACAAAACAGCTTATATAGACTAAAAAAAGCTACACACCACATTTGTAGCATATCGTACTTTGTGCCTGATTAAAGTTTACAGTAGTGGCTTTTTGATCTTTCAAGACAAATACACATGATACCACATAACAAACAGTTGTGCAAACTCAGGCTTAGGAGGAAGACTAACTACCTCCTTTTTCCAGAACTACTTTTCCCTGCTTTACTGCTGCTACTACCAGACTTGCTGGAAGATTTTGAAGAGAAAAGTCTTGTCATGAATTCAGAGACATCTGGCAGCTCGTGGTTGGAATTCAGCATGTTCATTGATTGCTCCATTTCCTGCATGCAAAGATTAGATAACCTTAATGCTTGTTAACAACTCTGGCTGTTTCTAAGGCATCAGCTGAAAGATCGTATCAGGAAGATGCCAAGTTTTCCCAAATACTCTTTTAGTATTTGTAGTCCTCCAGAGTACACATTGCTACATTTTTTTATGCAACCACAGCCAAATGCCCAGCTACACACAGAAACATAAAACCCCAAACTAAAAGCACTGGTGTACAGAAAAAAGTAACCATGTCTTAAGTAGTCTTACAGGACAACCACCTGATTTAAAAAAAAAATCTAAAATAAAAAAATGCCACTTTATTTTTATGCCAAAATTATTTTCAGCATTACTTGCCTCCAAATTCTAAGCTTTTGGTTAGATTTTCAAATCTGTGTTCTCGCAGATTTCACACATTTTTGTGTCTTCAAATTAATTTTATTTATGCTAAATCCAACAAAGTTTTGAAGCTGTTTGAAGGGATTAGATATTTTTATTGCCCTACTTTGTAACATCAAGCTATTAGTGTACAGCAGCTAAGTTTTCTTTGTTTCATGAAAGGAAAGACTTTAATATGAGACCATATATCCAGCTAAGCTTAATGTAACTTTAGAGTTTAGCACAGTGGCTCTATGAGATAAATTATTATAATTTAAAACAAACCAATCAACCCTGAAATACTTTTAATAGTACAAGCATACAACAGCCTAACTGCACATCCACAATGTGATAAGGCTTATAGTAATTGCCAATTTAATGTGGGATTGTCACTTTGCTCTTCTAGTTACCATTCAGAATGACAGAGCTTTAACTGTTTTCAAGGTACAAACGAAGCAAAAGCTGTTTCATCAGCCTTTGTTATTATTACATCTACGCTACATCTGTACTTAATGCCTCTACAATAAGCACAGTTACTAAATCATTAACTTTCTATATAAACTAGTACTGTGCTGATTCCATAAAGAAAAAACAAGCTAACTTGAAAAATGTAATACAAGCTCCATACCCTCCACAAGCAAACTGAAATTTGGTATAGCTTTATAGATATACACTAGAATTTAATACATTATCATCTAGAAAATACCATTACAATCGAGTTCTTAAAAACTACCTTCTCCTATTCTTTAAAGATAGTTTAAATTACAAGCAAGGTTCCTTCAACTTAAAAATTCTCCTTAACAAGTCATATCAGTCAGCTACTAAGAACTAAATCATGAGAAGTTCTGATGGTTTACCATCAGAACAGCCTGTCTGTAAGAGTGTCAATCAGTGGAAAAAAGTAGGGATTTTTTTTAAAAAAGTAAGTAAATTTTTTTCAATATTCAACTTCCAAAGTTCAACTTGGCTTGAAGAACAGGCCACAGATATCTAACATATCTTCACATCCTGTTTTTAATAAAAATTAAAGCCAAAAGAGCATTACATAGCTGTGATACGCTTTTTATAGGTATTACTTGAAAAAAAACTAAAAAAGACTGAGACATCTATAAAGTGCTACTGAAGACAGTGGTCATTTAGAAAACAAGAGTTTAAATTAACCAAACCCTCAAAAAGCAGCCACCCAGGACAGACAAGGAATAGTTCTAAAAATAAGAAAAGATTTAGTAAACACCTTGAATCTCCATTTTGTCCTAGCCTTCTGCTATTCGGCATTTTGCATGATGAAAGGACAATAAATCAGATAATTTAATGACTACATTAAGACTCCGTATCGTATACGCTATTGTGACATCTGGAATTAACAGTCTCGTAAACTATGTGGTTTAGGTTGATGGATAAGAGAACCCCACACCATACTCTTCTCAACACACCTGGCACTTACTAACTGATGTCAAAAATTGAAGTGCTAGATTTCAACATAGTGCAGGAATACATTGGAAATTTATAGAAAGAATAGCCTTTGAGAAATTATATTTATCGCTCTAAAGAAACTCTGGAAAACACCAGTCATACTGTAACACATTCAAAGCTGTACCAAACAATTCAATTCTGTGTTGTGCTGTTTAATAGCAAATTCTTGAGGTGGAAATGTTAGAATTCACTGTTAGAACAGCAACACTGTTTTTTAACTGAATAAATGATGCCCATTAGGATTTCTTTGTAAGTCCCGTTTTGTTTTTATTAATTCCCTGTATCTTAAAATCTCATTGTCTACGTTCTCTATGTCTGCATCAATTGAACATACTCACCCGTCTCATATCAGGATCGCTGGTGTTGACAACTTTAGGCAAAAGCACAAATATCAGTAATGGAAGAACCATCATCATCACCTACACACAAAACAGCAAATAGCTTTTAGCTTATTTGTTGCTCCAGACATTTTTAGACATACTGACATAAAGCTTTTAGCTAAACAGCCAAATTCTAGAATACTGCATTTTGAGTCAGTAACCCAGTAACAGTAATCGACTTGTCAGGAAAGAAACCAGATAAGCACGTATAATGTTTTAAATAACAGATTTCAAAGTTGGACCATTAACGTGAATGCTTGTTATCTCTTTCAACTGTTATACTTACAATCTTGTAACATGTTGATCTCCACACAACTAGAACATCATGTTGTTAAAGGAAACAGACTATGGGCTGTTTTCAGAAGACATACCTTAACAGAGTGGGTATACAGGGGAGGAGAAGTCATAGAAAAACCTTCTATTTGTAAACAAGTAAAAACCAAAGAAATAAAAACAATCCTCTCAGAAGAGCAAAGTGTGCACATATTTTCTCAATTATTTTATTCTCCATATTCTGAAGAATAGTTGCATTTGGATCCTTAGCATACTTTCAACCTTTGTGTGTTGCTTGCACGTACCATAGGGTTCATGAGGAAATCTGTCCATCCCCAAGATTCTCTCTTTATAAAGTATGAAGGAGGTCCAGAAGATTTCATCTGGAGTGGGTACGGCAGCCTGACAACTTCAGAGGTTTTGATGTAATTCACATATCTTGCTCTAATGAGCAAAATGTAAATAATTAAAAATATAAATACAATCTTTACCAACAAATAAAGATTACTTAATAATATTCCAAACAAAGTTTTAATAACAGACTACAAAAAAACCTATCTGCTAGGCAGTGTCAGCTAGGCTTCACTTTTCAGAATTTCTCTCAGTAGCATAATTTACGGCATCAAATGATACTCACTTTACCTTTTTTTTCCCAGGCTAGCTATTAAGCAGGCTGAAAAACTTGACATGGAAAACAGACCTGCAGAAAATATCAAAACTATTTGTTCAAATATGACTTCTACAAAACATTTTTTTCTTCCCTTGGTAATGAGCAAGAAAAGCTACAATGTTTAAAGAGAAGGTACAGCCTTCAACAGTGTAGTGTAGCTTAAATAGAGTTTGCTCAGGGCAACAATTATTTATATATAAAGTTAATACCACCTTTTCGCCCAAGTGCATTATTTTGCATTTACCAATACTGAATCTCAGTCTTTATTACTTTTTAAGGTCTTTCCACAGTTCTTCAGTAGTATTCTTCACTTGGTACCATCATTTAACTTTATCACCCTTCATCCATTTTTCATGATTTATGAATATTTACCTGCCTTGTGCAACTCCAGGGTTGACTTCTGACCATTACAATAGAAAGAATTTATTCTTTCTGAATTTTTCACCAAATATTCATCCAACGAACATCTTTCCCTCCTACCTTATGACTACATATTTTCTTCAACAGCGTTTGAGATTTTCAAGTAGATCTTATCAGACATATCTGTTATCCACATGCTGTTTCCTCTTTCTAAGAAGTCCACTATTTTTTAAGGCTTAACTTCCCTTAGAAAAGCCCAGTTGACATTTTCCCCATGTGTCACATTTTTTCATCCGTCTCCCAACTGTATTCCTCATTATAGTTTCTACCTGTTTGACTGGTACAGATGTCAAGCCTACTAGTAGTTTGCTCTGCTGGCATACAATAGCAATTTACTTAACATCAAATTTGTTACCTCTAATCGTCAGATACCAGAATGGTGAGAGGTTATACACACTATTGTGTCTATTTCACCAAGTTCCTTCTGTATTTATTATATATTGATTGTTGCCAAAGAGATACTACCTAAGAAAGTAAAAAAATAAAAATTTCATCAAGTTTGGAAAAAAAATCTGAGCACAAACAAATTGTGCTATTATTATGATAAACAGACTGCACTGTTTTCAGTTTTGAGATGTCAATGTTTAACCTCCCCTAAAAATACTGCTGCAGTGTTAATGTTGATGTTTGTACTCCTAAAATGTAACAGCATCCTCTATAAGATATTGTAAAAGACAAGCTTGAAGTCAAGATAATACATGTGTACCTGTAAAAAGAAAAATTAACTACAAACATGTTCATTTAAATGAAAATTATTAGATAGCATACCCATTTTTCTGTATCACTTACTGAATAGTGTGCAGTTACAGATGTACAGTTATAGTTGTTAGGGATAACGTATCTGGCCGTAACATAAAAAAGCTAATGATGCTACAGAAATACTGCAGGCTGGCAACTACGAGCATATGCCAGTAACTGTAACGAGGATCTTTTGAAGGTGTAATAGAAATATGTTAGAATTTAGAATTAAGAGTTTCATTGTGCCAAGTCTTGATAGAACATTTACCAAAAAAGAAAGGAAAAAGGGAACACAGAAAAAAAAAAAGGTATTGGCAAAAGATAAAGCAGTTAACTGATTTATGCCTAGATTTTATTTCAGGATAGCTGCATAAGAAAATAACAAAAGTGTAAACAAACAGGACTCTTTTTATCCATTTCCTCTTATTTCAGGCCATAAATATGAAAGGAAGAAAGAAATCAGGCTTTGGATTTTAAGAAATGTGCTCCTAGAAGTGATGTTAAAAGAAGCTGAAACACATGGTCTGAAATGGAACATCAGATCTACACTACTGTTTACATTACTTCACATACTGTGCTGTCAGGCATACTTAATAAATCGGTACAGAAGTAAATCAGGAAAGGCTCACCTCATTTTGCCTTTTGAAGTTATGTCAACTCGCACGGGCTCAAATTTATGAGCAGGGGATATAACTTCCACTACGTAAGATCCTGAAGGTACATCATGAACCACAAAACTTCCATCTGTCCTGAAAAAAACAGCAAGTTCCACTACATTTTGATATGCTCCAGTACACAACAAAGGGTGCTTCATTTTTTTAAAAGAAGAAACTATAATAGTATCATTTTATATTATAAATCTTAATATAACAACGATGACCAAAAGGAAAATTTAAATCTCTCAGCACTCGCATCATCAAGCCTCTTAAGGTTATCAATGCGAAGAACCTGGAAACTATCCTTGCTATTTCCAGATGGGCCACTATTACTAAATTTTATTTAACCACAACAGTAACAGAAATTACCAGTTACGTTAAAGATTTTCTCATGCCCTCAAGCTATTGTCTTGCTGGAGGAGTAATTTAAGAGCCTAAGTAAGATCTGAAACAGATTTCATGTATTCAAATGATGGCAGAACAGACTTACACCTTCCTTCCTCCTTGTGAAATATATACTAATGAAGTTTACTTTGCTTCAGTACTTCTGTTGGAAGCAAAAAAACCCCAAAACTGACATCCTACACAGCGTGGGTAGATATTAGAGATGACTCGCAACGCACAAAATTGCAGTTTGTGCCTTTATTGCAAAATAGAGGTTTTTACTTTTAATTGCTCCCTTTACGACTAGCCCACGCTGCAAAGTTCTATCACAACAATAAGGAAACTAAGAGCTCTGAACATATACACCAAAGGGATTTTTAGACAGACTGCTTTTACTTTAAAATATGAAGCTTCAATATTCAGTGAAAATATTAGTAAAAGGACACTTGAAAGCTTTAGCACCAGTTGCCACTAAAATAAAGTACAGAAGCTTGCCGTTTTCCTCCTACATGCTTCCAGGAGTTTTCCAGGAAGAAAAACTTGGTGTTCTGTACCTCTTCAAAATTAATATAAAAGGTATCTCCCAAAAATAAGACTCAAAAGTTAAGACCAAAATAGTTGTTCAAAGGGAAAAAAAAACCCAAACAAAACCAAAAACCCGATACATTAGAAACCTGCATCAGGAAAACAAATAAATGAACCCTCTTGAAAGTGAACCCTCAAAAAGAATTTTGTACTTATATCCTTCACACAAGTTCTCTCTCTCAAAGACGTACATCACTTAAGGACCATCTCCCCACAAAGACAGAACCATATAAGCAGTACTGTGTAGGTGCGTTTCAGTAATACTCTATGTGATGATTTGAACCATCAAGAATGCTTACATTATCTTACATTGCAACTGCTATAAGGATGTTTCCCTGGGCACTTCCTTTTAATTTTTCATTCTTTACAGTATTATTTTGATAAAATTAAATTACAGGGTTTTTTTCTGAAGATTTATTTATGACAAAGCAAATTCTCACTTCATATACTGGTATCCAATACTGCCTTTTTAGAAAAAAAAAAGTTTCATTTTTGTTACAGTGGGGAAACTAATCAGATTTATAAAAATGTTTGTACTAGAGAATGACTTTTGACATACTCAAAAAGCAACTTTGCTATGTCAAGTAATTATTTTCCTCCTTTTGATAACTGGAATGACATCCATGTAATGTCTAATCAAAACCTGCCTGAGAGATGGTGACATAAGATAGTGACAAATTTATCTTCTGATATACCAAATCTGCCACTGAAAGGGGAGATCTTTCTACTGAGCCTGAAATACCACCATTATTTAAGAAAACTGTTCTCTCCTCTAACACAGTTCTTACTAAAAGTATACTGCCATCCAGTACTGTGCTCATTACAAGTAACAAAAAAATCCCAACCAACATTAAAGCATTTTTGCTAAAATATACCATGCTTATGCTAGTACAACATCTATGAATGTTTATCAAACTGAGTAGTTTATAAAATATTAATTGCTTGGCTTTAAGTTATATCAATATAATTTGATACATCTACGAATAGACATATCAAATTAATGTAATCAATACAGCTTGATACTTAGGTTACACTTGTCATAAATATGGTATATTCTTAACTAAGACTGTTTCTTCATATTTCAGACAACTTGAATTCCAAGCAAGGCTTTGGAAACTTACCAACTCCATGGTATTTATTAAATCAGCTCCTAAATATGATGTCAGGCTCCCACAACTTGGTTGTACTGGCTTATCAGGTGCTACACTGACAAGATTCTGCAAGTTTTGCAGAGTAAAATCTGTTGTGTTAACCTATCCACAGTTCCCAAAGTTCAGTTCAACTTTGACTGCAGAGGGAATAATTAAAAATTATTGGTATTTATGAGATGGTGTGTCTTAATTCCATGGAAACTTTCTCATTTTAATACATAATTTTAAAAGCAATGTATTATACTGTATTGAAAATCATAAAAACGATTTTAGAATTAGCTTCTCCTCTTGAAACTATGCGATTAGTTCAATTCTTAATTCTGAGAACATTTTTTATGTCTTAATACCTCTAGATCCTTTGCTGATCTGAATATACTCAATACCACCTGAGACTGAATAAGGTAATGTGATTCTGTACAGCTTCTAAATGCATTTGCATGATCTTGTGTGAAGAAATAAAGCCATATCCCTTGAAATGGCTTTCACTGGTACAGTGAAAGTTTTTCACAGGTACGGTAATAGATAACTACAACTGTAACTTTCTGTGACAAACATTTGGTCCAGAATGAGTAAATTCTTTGCTAAGAGAGGGTCTTAAAAAAGAAGTGACAGAATTTGCACCCACAAAAGCTGAGAACACTGTGCTCCAGCATTCAATGCAAATGTGTTGGGTTTGTTTTTTAATTAAAACTCAGTTCCGATTTTTTGATCACTAAAAAGCCAACAGGCTTAGTTATCAGTTTGGTTACACCTGCAGGAGGCTGAAAACAACAAGGCAGCGTTACAGGTTCAGATTACAGGTCTGGCCGTTTCTGATGCCTTACAGGGTAAGCTGCAAGTGTACCCGTAAAGCCAAACTCGGGCATGAGGTGTTCACCTCCACAGCTGTGCGTTGTGCTGCGCCGCTCTGTCACAGCGGGCCGCCATCTTGCGGCCGCCACTGCAGAAGGGATGCTACGCCTGTCAGAGGCGGGGAGGTGGGAGATCTCCGCGTGGCACCGCGGCACAGGGCGATACCGGCACAAGCCGGGCCAGGCCCGGCGAGGGATGCTCAC